CTATTAACAAAATATAACTTGTGGAATGGAATGGCCATTATGTATTTATTTACAATCATAATTATAAAAATTTCCTAATATTCAATTAAATATTTTTGGTTGGTCTTCATGCATGTCAATTCAAAGTATGTTCATGCATATTTCGTTCAACATTTTGTGCCTGTCTTTGCTGTTTATATGCTGATATATCCATAGATGTACTCTATTTTCATAGATGCACGCCAGAATCATAGAAAGAGCACTTTCTGATTGCAGTAAAGTTTATAGTTCGACTATGATTTGTCTGAGGCTCTAAGTCATTCGCTGTTGTTGCTACGAATGCCTGAAATCGATACACCTATGCTATATATTTTAAAATTGATTTGGTACCTTTATGAATTCAATTATTTTACCTCTTACGATATTCCAACCACAGCAAATGTACAGCGAAATTGATATCGCTTCGTGAACTTTATCAAGCCTCCATTTTCGTCCCAATTTGTCATGCTTTTTGCCTCAAATATATTCAGGAATCAGTATAAGCTTTTGTGCTGCCTATTCCAGTATTTTGAGAGTTTCATCTGCCTTGTATGTACATCTATGTGCCGAAATTTTTGCCTCACTTGCAATGCACTCACTCGCAAATGGCCGCCATCTTGAATCATCAACTTGAAAAACTACATCCTGTAGTTTTTCAAGTTTGCTATGCGCAGAAGAGATGCGCAGACGGTGACACTGCTCCTTTAAAATGGTTTCGTTTCAAACGACAACTTCAATTGAATTCAGACGAATTCATTTCATAACTAGAAAATACATGCATGCAGAAACCCTCGCCTTGCAGACAAAACCTTTATAATTTCCGACGGGGAAGTATTTTAAGTAGTTGTCATGGTAACACGATAATTTTTTAAGAATATTTTTACAAATGAAAAATCCCCTATAAATATCACTTTTAATTACAAAATTATCAATTTCCTAAACATATATATGTTAGGTAATATGTTATTATACGTAATATAAGCTTGAATTTAAGGTAAAATTCAACCACAAACGCTTCGCAAAACGTTTTAAAATGTTCTTTTACTATAGAACTAAACTGCCTTTATCGATAAACTTTGAGTTCGAAATAAAATGATTCCAAATTCTCCCATGTAAATAACTTTGCTTAGTATAATAAAAAGTGTAATCAATAAAGAAACACTGAAATAATACGCTGTCTTGTTTCATATTTATACGCAACGATCGGCTTTTAAAGTAATTACAGTAGGTATGTTATTTTTCGTAATATAAGCTTGAATTTAAGGTAAAATTCAACCACAAACGCTTCGCAAAACGTTTGAAAGTGTTCTTTTAATATAGAACTAAACTGCCTTAATTTATCGATAAACTTTGAGTTCGAAATAAAATGATTCCAAATTCTCCCATGTAAATAACTTTGCTTAGTATAATAAAAAGTGTAATCAATAAAGAAACACTGAAATAATACGCTGTCTTGTTTCATATTTTATATACGCAACGATCGGCTTTTAAAGTAATTATTACAGCCGAGATTACAGTATATTAAAAGCAAACAATGCATCAATATTTAAAACAAACTTACCTTCGTTAACGTCGGCACCTTTACTTCCTTCTTTTAGCAATTCTCTTGCCTTTATTTCATCAAAAATCCTTTGCAATTTACAAAATCTTGCAAAAATGAAATATATTTGCAAGAATTCATCAATCAATTTCGCTGTCGTCAATCGCCATGCAGCCGTTATAATGCCAATTTTAAATTGGACCATTCAGTGTGGGCTATTCATTACAGTCCGCTATATTATGAGATCAGTGAGGATGACCACCCACCGAAACACGCACAGTGACCCACGCCCGCGATATTTGATGAACTTTAGACTTCGCTAATGCTTTCGTTTCCCCGGGTGTAAATAGCCGGGGGGAATTAGTACCCTCGCACGGCGCTTCGCGCCGTCGGCTCGGGGATTATAGCGATCATAGATTGCCCAGATCATGGATTAACCAACTTGTTTTAATATGTGTTGAGCACTGTATGTTTATATTTCTCTTTGTTTACAGCATAGACAATCTGGATTGTCTATGTTTACAGATACAATACTGAAATATTACTAACATTAAATGTCGTCCGTATATAAGCCCCATCCC